CCCCGACCCCCCCTGAGCCCCCCTGAGCCCCCCAGGTGCACGGGCTGGTGGAGGAGGGGCTGTGGGAGGCCGTGAGAAGCTACGAGAAGGAGCCGGTGCTGAGCTCGGCGCTGGACGCCTTCCAGCAGGAGGTGAGCTCTGCCCCGAATTTGGGGAGGGGGCTTCATTCTGGACCCCTCCCCGCTATTCCCGATGTGTTTTTTTCCGGGCAGTTTTCCTGCTGTGGGGTGCAGAATTACACGGACTGGGCGAGCGTGGGGCAGTTTGGGGTCAATGACACCGTGCCCAGGTCCTGCTGTCGCCACCTGGGCAACCCCACCTGCAACGTCCGGCCCACTCCGGCCACCGTGTTCGAGCAGGTGAGACCCCCTCCCCAAATCCATCCCTCCTGGGGAGGGGTCCCTGAGACCCTCCTGGGCCTCCCCCACACTTTTGCTGTGCCCCACAACCAGGGCTGCCTGCCCAGCCTGGAGATGTGGGTCAGGAGCAGGATGGTGGTGCTGGCGGCCGTGGCGCTGGGCATCGCCTTCTTCGAGGTGAGACCCCCCAAAAGTGGGGCTGGGGACCCCCAAAAGTGGGGCTGGGGACCCCCAAAAGTGGGGATGGGGACCCCCAAAGGTGGGGCTGGAGACCCTCGGGTGTGGGGCTGGGATACCTCCAAATGTGGGGCTGGGGACCCCCAAAAGTGGGGCTGGGGACCCCCAAATGTGGGGCTGGGGACCCTCGGATGTGGGGCTGGGGACCCCCAAAGGTGGGAATGGGGACCCCCAAATGTGGGGCTGGGGACCCCCAAATGTGGGGCTGGGAGACCTCCAAAGGTGGGGCTGGAGACCCCCAGATGTGGGAATGGGGACCCCCAGATGTGGGGCTGGGGACCCCCAAAAGTAGGGATGGGGACCCCCAAAGGTGGGGCTGGGTACCCCCGGGTGTGGGGCTGGGGACCCCCAAAAGTGGGGCTGGGGACCCCCGGGTGTGGGGCTGGGGACCCCCAAAAGTGGGGCTGGAGACCTCCAAATGTGGGGCTGGGGACCCCCAAAAGTGGGGCTGGAGACCCTCGGGTGTGGGGCTGGGCATCGCCTTCTTCGAGGTGAGACCCCCCAAATGTGGGGCTGGGGACCCCCAGATGTGGGAATGGGGACCCCCAAATGTGGGGCTGGGGACCCCTCCCAAATTTAACCGACGCCCCCAAACTTAATGGACCTCCCCCCAAATTTAACCGGCCCCCCAAATTTAACCGCCCCCTCCCCAAATTTAACCGCCCCCCCTCTCCCCCCAGATTTTGGGCGTTGTCTTCTCCTGTTGCCTCATGCGGGGGATCCGCAGCGGCTACGAGGTCATGTAGCCCCCTCCCCAAATTCCTGCCCCCCCCCGGGGGGTTTTGGGGGGCCCCCTGGGGTCTTGGGGGGGCCCAGGTGCCATCACCCCCCCACCCCGGGGGTCCTGGGGGGTCTCGGGGGAGCCCCCCCCCCCAAGTTTGCAATAAAGAGGAAAAAGGTTCTGGAGAGGCGAGTGGGGATTTGGGGGGGTTTGGGGGGTCCCCTGTGGGGTTTGGGGGGTCCCCTGTGGGGTTTTGGGGGTCCCCTGTGGGTTTTGGGGGGTCCCTGTGGGTTGGGGGGGTCGCTGATGGATGGCGGGGGTCCCATGGAGGGGTTTGGGGGTCCCCTGTGGGTTTTTTGGGGTCATTCCTCGCCCACCCAGGGGGGTTTATTTTGGGGGGTTCATTTTGGGTCTGGGGTCTCTCAGGGCACGCTCTGGGCCGGTTTGGGCAGGAGCAGGGCCAGGGCCAGGTCCACGAGGTCCCTTGTGCCACCCCAATGTCCCCAAACCCCCCAATAAGAGCAAGAACAGGAGAGTTTGGGGTCGTTCCTCACCCACCCAGGGGGGTTCATTTTGGGGTTTATTTATTTTGGGGGGTTCATTTGGGGGGCTCAATTTGGGTCTGGGGTCTCTCAGTGGACACTGTGAGTCAATTGAGGCAGAATTAAGGCCAGGGCCAGGTCCTGGTGGCTCTGTGTGTCACCCCAATGTCCCCAAACCCCCTGAGCAAGATCAAGAAGGAGTTTGGGGTCACTCTTTGCCCACCCAGCGGGGTTTATTTTGGGGGGTTCATTTGGGGGGCTCAATTTGGGTCTGGGGTCTCTTAGTGGTCACTGTGGGCTGGTTTGGGTAGGATGAGGGCCAGGGCCAGGTCCTGGTGGCTCTGTGTGTCACCCCAATGTCCCCAAACCCCC